TGATTACAGCCTTGGGACAGTACATCTGCCAGGTCCATATAAGGCTTTCTCTTGCTCAGCTGTCTCTTTCCCATTTCACTACTTATTTTTTTAAGTCTTTTTTACTTATATACTTTATATTGTGCTATTTATTTATTTTATTACTTTTATACTTTATGTTCTCTGTTATATTTACAGCACCTAACCCTTGTAAGGCCATGTTTCTCATCCAACTCCTTTAACTCTTCGATAAGCACTGTATAGTGAGGGACGAGGAGCATACACCTGCTTACCTCTGGTAGCTGCCAGGTGAACCAGTTTTCCATCACCTGTCACCTGCCCAGTGCTTCTCTTACATCATAAAAATTTTCCATCCCTAAATTTTGTAGCTAGTTACTTCTCCAAAGTCTAAGAATTTTGCCGTCCCTGAATTCTGTCCGAGCAGTTTGACTGCCCCGGTTTCACATTTGGTGGAGGCCTTGTTGCCCGGTTCTCCAAAAATTGCATATATCGAGCGTTTCAATGAAAATTCCAGAATGGATGTTAATGGCAAACCATTTTAGTGGATGGCACCTGTATACTGTTACAAGTATAGGATGGTCATAAAAAAGTTCCTCGATATATGAATTCCTAACTGCCTATCCGGTCACTCAATCTACATAAAATTTCAGATACTATTATTTGTTGGTATGATTCAAGATTCCGATGATTTAAAACTTTAGATCTCTCACAATTATGGTTACAGTGGAGAACTTATCGAAATTTTCAAAAGTCGCATGCGTCAAACTTTTGAGTGGAAATTCCGAAAAGGATATCACTGGAAAATCATTTTAAGGAATGACACTCTTATGCTATTACAAGTATATGCATCATTTAAAATTTCAGTTACAGTTTATGCTTTAAAAACCGTTTGCTTGGTGCAAGATGGAGATGAGTTTTCCCGAAAAAGAAAAAAATTAATTATTGGCAATCACTTGGTAAAATATAAATTTGATTCAGATGCTATTGTTTTCATATTGTTTGTTTATGATTGCAATGCTTTATTCCTGACTTCTTTCATTATGCCTGAACTGAGAGGCCCACCAGCGGCCGAGCGGTAAAGTCGCTGGACACTGGTAGTTCGGTCCGAGGGTCGAATCATTCAAACGGGCTGGCTGCATGGGAGTTTAGTGGTTTTTCCCATGTGTATACGAGCCAGTTCACCTTAGAAAATCCTTCACGAAGGCATCACTCCCCTTAGGCAGATAGCTTTCGAGGCTTTTCCCTAATCACATAAACCAAACTTGGACTCAGAAAAGACAAATGGAACTTCGCTTCAAAAGTTTAACATATCTAGTTTCTTGAAAACAGATCAAGCGAAAAATCATCATCTTGTTTAGGTTCATGGAAATTAGCACGGTCTCTTAAAATGATGTAATAAATTTTTCGTTACAATGCAATGCGAAATGATGCTCAACATTCGCTCTTCTTCAAACAATTCATGATCATTTTGCCCCAAGAAAACTGTTTTTCAAGTTAACAGCTTAAACCGCAACCGCTATTTCTAGTGATATATTAGTTTTAATAGTACAGGGGTGTTACTGAAACATTTTGCCATTAATATCCCCTTTAAAATTTTCAAAACCTTTCAAAGTCTAATGAGCACGACTTTTAGTTCACCCTGTACAATCGAGTGTCCAGGCTTTTGCAGTGTTTTTAGAACCCAACCTGCATGTTCTCGTGAATAAACACAAATTAGCAAAATATGGTCTCTCGTACTTCTGGGATTTCCGGGCAATGCAGATACTTTAAAATAGCACTTGGGAATTTACCATAGCGAAAACACTCAAGCATCATCTCATTTGGTAAGAAATCGAACATGAATCAAAATGCCAGCGGTCCGTATCTTAATTTACTTAGAAACTAACGAGACAACATGGGGAATTTTTCAATCTAAACTTGGTATCCAAATTTAAAGTGCATTTTAAAAATTAAGATCTCCTCCTTAAATTTACTTTTATTTAATTTACGTTTTAAGGAATATTTAAGCAATGCAAACGTCTATGATCTGAGGTAATTGGAACCATAAGCACGAGGGACTGGAAAATCGAAAATTCTATTGGTGAAAATTAATTTAAAATCTTTTTAACCTTTTTTCAACGAGATTTTCTGGAATTGTTTATTACAAATTATAAAATTAGTACGTAATTACTACATTTAAAATTTAAAAAAGTCTTTTAATAGAAAATATAATTTGTTTCTTACACTTAAGCAAAAGTGTAAGAAACAAATTATATTTTCTATTAAAAGTCATTCTATTAAAAGTTTGCGATTAGTCAGCAAAAAGGCATTAAGGACACAGCTATATGTGTACTCGGTTCTCGAAATAATGGTTTCTTATGCAATAAGGTTACGAATGAGAGGAATAGGACCCGATCCACCTGGTCTAAAAATAGACTTTATGATCGTATTTGGGTCACCTCTAAGTTCCACACAAAATAAGGAATCCCACCACATAAACCAAACTCAAGGTAAACTCATAGATATTTTCTCCCTCCTTTCTGCATTCCTTCGTGGTGTAATGGCAGCACACTCGGCGCGTATTCGAGAGGTCCAGGTTCGAGTTCCGGCGACGGCATGGTTCATTCTTAATATCTCCTACTTCAAAAAAGCCTAGAAACTCTACAGTGGGGCCCGATTTAAAGGGTAGAGGAGTAGGATTCTTCTTCACCAGGACTTGGCAATAGGCCCTCTAATCCTGAGTCGCCTTTTAAGAACTATGTATTTTCTCCCTCCTTTCTGCATACTTTCCTGGTGTAATGACAGCACACTCTGTGCGTAATCCAGAGGTCCAGGTTTAAATCCTGGGAAAAGTGTAGAGTCATTAGGATTTTCGAAGTCGGAAACACGAAAAATGAGTAGTACCCTCATCTGGACTCAAACCTTGACCTCTAGAATATGCGCCGAAAGTGCTAACCGTTACACCACGAAGACATGCAAAACGAGGAAAAAAATACCTTATAATAGCATTGCTCATTTTTCACATCTCCTGCTTTTAAAATGACCTAACTCTTCAATGCAATATCTATAAATATATCGTGTATATTTTTCGTGATACAAACATCTGAACATCAGCTTTACAATTATATCAAATCGTTACAATCAAGTTGAATAAATTCCTTAAAAACACATGCTCCACGTCTATGCAATAACTTTGTCTATAATATGTTAATTTTATGCTCTATTTGTTTCACTGATGATATTTAATTGCTAATTAGGTGTCATTACCACAGCATATGTAGTCTAAATGTTGTACTGTGCTAAATGCGTGACTTATGCTTGCTTGGTACGGTTGTAACTTTATAATAAAATTTTGAGTTTATGACAAAGTGGCATCGTGGAAGACAATGAAGGTGTTGAATTGTACTTAAACTATTAAAATATCTGATTTTTACCCTTACGGAATCTATGTGTCAAAGAGTTAGTTCTGAAAATCATGTGGTTGAAATGCAGGCATTTTGAAAGAAACTAGTACTTTGGAAGAATCTTTTCCAGTACAAACAAAGCGCCTTTTTCTATACAGCTCCGAGCAATATGCAAATGAAAGATTTCCTTTACGTCTATCTTTTGGAAATACACAAAAGATTATTAGCCCAAAGGTGAAATTTGCCCAAAGTTCTATTAATTTCGTTTTGGCATGATTCCCTATAGACGGCGAATCATTTTTAACTTGTTATCACCAAATATTAGAGTCCTGTTGTGGGATTCTCCACTGTGTAATTCTAAGTTACAGTTGGATGTGAAAAATCTTAAGAACTGATAAGCGAATAATCGCTTGAGTTCGTGTGGCAGGAAAAAACAAGATAGAAGGGTAAAATGACCCTTTATTATTCCAATCAAATGTAACAGAACTCCGTCTTGGAGTTGTACAATAAAGCCGACACTTGGGCTTGAACTTAAAAAACTAAGAATTAAACTAAACTAATCTTAACTAAAGATATATAGGCGAAGTTATCAAAATTCTAACTTCGCGGTTATATACCGTCTGTTCTTCATTAACATACAGACGTGATTCTAAAACTATGTTCTTGCCGGAAGTGGCAAGTTGAAATTAAGAATCGGTAGGAAAGGAAGTTTAACTCAAAATTTAACTGTTAATAAAATTAACACAATCCTTACACTGTATTATATTTAAAAAAATTAAATAATGTAGAACCAACATAAATGTATGTAAGTTTTTCCGCATTGTGATAAAACAACGGTACCTAGATCCATCCAATTTTGAATAATGTCTCCACCTGAATATGGGCATCACGAAGCCCCCCAAATTTGGAATTTATTTTATTATCCATTTCATATTTTTAAAGCATTTATGAATTTTTGATTAAGAAACTCAACAATTTCAATGCGAACAACGACAACACTGTACCCCCTCCCCCCTTAAAAACATTATTTTGTCCCCAGCCCGCGAGACTGTGTATCGAAAATTCTAAAGATATGCTGTTTTAAATATTTTGTGATATTACTGTTGAATTGAATTTTATGGTTCAAGCTCGAGGAACATGATACTGAATAAACAAAAGTAATATACAAATTTTAAAAAATAAAAAACGCCTCTTGGGTCGTAATATAAAATCTGAAAACTTTCAGATTCTTTTTGAAATACTTTTGTATTTTATTTGTTTTGATTACTGCCTTAATTTGATTTAGCAGGTATGCCGATACATATGTTTTAGAAGGAAAAAACTGATTTCTTATTATTTGTTCGTATGCTACGATTAAGTCCTTCTTATTTCTTGATTCAAGCCATACATTTATTAATTCTTGGTTTCTTCCTATACACTCTAAATTTCAGATATTATAAGTGATGAAATAAATACCGTAGAGACATTAGGATTTTTTTTAAAGCAGGAAAGATGATAATTAGCAACCGCCTTCGCGGAGAATCGAACCACGAACCTCTGGAATTCCAGCCCAGCATGCAGAACCACTACACCATGAAGGCGTGCTAGGAAAGTGGAAGAAATACCTTATATACTCACCTTTTTGATGGCCAACTGGGGATTTTAGGAAACCCAGACGCCAAATCCTGGGTATGGTTAATCATCATCCTTGACCCTTTTAGTTCAGGTGCCACAGTAGTGACATTAGGTATTTTTTTTGGAAGCAGGAAAGATGAAAAATTAGCAACGCCTTCGCCGGGAATCGAACCACGAAACTCTGGAATAACGGTCCAGTATGCAGAACCACAACACCAGGAGGCACGCTAGGAAAATGGGAGAAATACCTTATAATACAATATACGCTTTCAAGAGAAAATTGATAAAATTAACCGTTTGAAGTTGTCGTGTGTTTAACACAGGTTAATCAGCTTGAAAGTACTTAACACGTGGTTATTGATTGAATGACCACATTCAAGCAGATTTGTACATATTCAACACGTATATTAATATTATTATACTAACAATTATATTATCTTTTACATATATAAGCGGCTAAGGTGTGTATTGTCGATAGTTTATTGTAGCCACTTGAAAAAATGAGTGCGGAAATTACCATTTCCGCAGTTTTTAATAATATCTCGGCAGATTAAAGTCGTAAAAAGATGAGAGCGGTATCGATGGATTCGGAGAAACTTTTGGAATTCGAGGATACGCATCTCGAATTTCAACTCGGCGTTTTTCCGTAGATATTCGAGAAAAAAGAATTTGGCACGTAGCCAAATCCCTCTAATAGGCAAAAACCCAAGAAAGTGGATAATGTAGGGAATTAGTTCATAATTAAAATCTCGGCTAATTAAAGTCCCAAGAACACGCGAATGCTCAAAATGGCGTGCCCCAGACCTGCAGAATCCAACAGTGCGCTTTGTTAAGCCCGGGAGCCAGCCGTTTCGGAGGAGATGATGTTACTTCACCCCATATATATATACAGCTTAAGTGTCTGTTTGTCGCCGCTAGTTTATTGATTGCTTGTGTTATTGTACTAGCCAATGGGGTGAAGTTGCCACAGCACAGGGTTGCCGTTTCAACTGAGACGCAGACAATTTAATGTAAAACTTGCCTTTGCTATGTCCATCAGTAAGTCTCAGGGCAAAATGCTTAAGCGTGTTGGCATTTTTTACCTGAGCCTGCATTTGGACACTGTCAACTTTATGTTGCCTGTTCAAGAGTTCATGAAAGATCGGACGTAAAATTAAAAATAATGGATGGTCCTCTACAAGGCGAGTTTATAACTGATGGAAAGATCTACACAAGAAATGTTGTGTACAAAGAGATCTTTGGCATGTGAATTAACATTTCATTATTTAAATCACCTTTATTTATTGGGCTAGCGGTGGCTGTTAAGAAATGTACGGCCAGTGGTTTCCTTCATTGCACTCTAAGCAATTAAGCAAGTAGAAGGAGGAAACCCCGTGGGGCAGTAAGAAAGGGGCGTCCTCGCCACCTGCCCTGGGTAATTCTGTTTAAATTAGCAGACACCTTTGCACAAATCATTTTAATTACAATTCATAATATCTTAAATGGGGGTCATTTTGTATGACCACCGAGCTTTCTAGTAAATATATAATACACTTGCAAATATTTAGCACGTGGTTGTTCATTAAATAACAACGTGTTAAGTACATTCAAGTAGATTTGTATATTTAACACTTACATTAACATTATATGTATAACAAGTATTTTGATATTATTATATTAACGAGCATATTAGAAATATTTAATACATTTATAAGTATTTCACACGTGGTCATTCATAGAAGACATTAAAAAAAATGTGGAGGTAAATTAGTAATTCATTTAGTGATTTTGGGGGGCATGGGACTCTCGATTGAGAACTAGTCCTTCCTTTTAAACGTTGTAATTTAGAAATTGTTTAATTGGTATAAAAATTTTTTTCTCGGCATACTATTTCATAAATTTCAGGTATCAGCATATCATTCCAGAAAAAGTCCGTTTTTATGTCAAATTGCATTAATCAAAATTCCAGTACCAATACATGACATAAATACTTGTAAAATACGTCTCCTGTCATTTATTTTTTCTTTAGGTAGATATCTGTTTTGTAATAACACATGTATCTATGAATATTTATGCATCTTTATTGCTTAATAGTGTATGGAATGTACTTTATTGACCATTACCTTTTGAATTTCTGTGCCTGACAGTGAAAGATTCAGGCTGTTGTGAAAAGATAGATTTTCGAGTATGGACAAAGAATATGAAAGGGAGTCCAATTCAAATTCTGTGGTATAGCTTATGTGGCTGATAAGGTATTTCCTCAAGGGATTAATTGCTCTACCGTTTACACAAAAGCTTTTCATTTTACTAGTAGGGGCGAGGGAATTTTCAGTTGTTTCCTTGGCAATAGCGTGTATGAGCTGGGCTTATTACAATTTACAGCAAATATACGTGAAATAAAAATGATCTCTTTCTATTGGTTAGCACATCACTCAGATATGTATATAATCTCAGGTGATTTTATTGGCATATTTCATTTGAATGCTACGCATAGACTTGCTAGTTTCGCAGTCTTGAGCTCCGGAGATATTTGTGTGCTGTGGATATTGTAAGAAAAACTAAAAATAGGACATTAAATAAATTTTCTGATAAAATATAAGAATATCAGTTTAAAAAACTGCATATTACCAACAAAATACAGACCTGTCTAAATCACAATCTATATTCAATAAACAAAAAAATAAATATAAACAGTATGTATGGTAAAGTTACGTAGGTAAGTTGAAAAATAAGTTTCCCCTGTCGACTGTGGTCAGAGTTGTGTATGAAAGTCAAAAAATAGAATGAGACATTAAAGATATGACATACCTTTATTTTATTATTCTCGTACGAGTACGTTGAGACATTTGTCATATCGCTTGATAAGCTTAAACGACGGAGCTCCTCTGATTCAGGATCCACGTTTTCAGCTTCCCCTAAAAATATAATGCATAAATATTTTCCCGAATGAATAATGCATAAAACGCATTTCCTTAAAATTACGATATATATACTCAATTGCTTGATAAATTCATAAAAAATTTTCATTTTTATTGCATTTCGAAAACATATTTTTAAAAAATGTTTAAATTATCAGTGATTCAGGTATTAGCATATAGTTATTACATTTTTAATTCAAGGTGCAATTATTTACCATAAGCACAAATCTTGATTACAGTAAAAGTATTAAATTTGAAAAATATGCATTTATTTCACCTGCAAATTTATAAAAATTTCAGGTAAACACTTACACAATATTTCTAAATATGGAAATTAAAATTCAGATTTAGTCAATTTTTAACATGTATCTTGAACTTGATCTAATGTTAACCATCTCATATACAGTTTACTAACGACGAAGTTTTCATCATGAAACTTGCTGTATAAGCAAATACACACAGACACAGATATTGCTTTAAATTTATTCTACCTCACCACATGCGAAGCTTACATTAAAAACTGTAAAAGGCAATATTGCCAGTCCCTGCGACATGGCTGTCAACACAAACTTGGCTTTAAAACTTTGCAAGTGCAATATATAACCAAGCTTTAACAGAGGCAGGTATCTACTAATAGGTATTCAGAATCTGAACCTACCACCAATTAAGTTTACCTTAAGTTTTGCAAGGAACTCTTATGTAAGGAAGAAGCTATTAGCGAAGTGATAAACTGGATGGCAGGCCGTCCACCTTAATTCAAACACTCATACAGTTAAAATTATTTCTATAACTTACACTAAACAGCTTGCCACTCAAATCTGGCCAGTTTTTAGAATGAGCGAGCATCCTGACGAAATGAGGAGCTGATCTTTGGAATATGGTAACAGGTAGTTTTGCGACATTTTGGTAAGGCGATAAATGTTACTAGCTAGGACTTTAGCAGTATACATGGATAAAGTCAAGAGTGAGCGCAATGCCATTTTTGTGCAATTCTGGATGATTTTTTTTAAGTGAAAATGGGTTGACGTGTACATGGATACAGTGTATGTGCAATTCTTAAAAACGTGGCAAGCAGTGGGCGATTCTGCACTTTCTCCCAATTTCGCACCTAATCTTCATCATGATTAAGCACTTTTGTTCCATAAAAGTTCTAGCATAAGCGTAATTCGCCTAGCAGATTGTTGGAAAAAAATTTTGAGTAAAAAAAAGCCTTCGTGAAAACAAAATGGTGTCCCCCCAAAAAAACTAGCAGGTTGCTGTAGCAGTGTTGGTCACCAAATTTTCGCCAAAAAATCACCAAGTTACCATAATCCGAAGATTAACCAAATGAGGAAATGGGGAAGAATATATTTGAATCAACTTAATTATTGAAACTCAAACATAATGCCACTTCCTTTCTTTTTCTTTTTACAAACACAATTGTCTCAAATATTCCTTTAAAAATTAGAACAATATTATTATAATAAATAAAATATGTATTTTACAATAATGCAAAATTGTTAATAAGATTCCCAAATTATTAATGTGCAAATCAGATGATCTGCTAAGCTTTCGCAGGGGCTGGCAGAAAGTAGATATTTATCACTAGTAAATACTGAGCAGAAAGCTTCAAGCAAAGCTATTTAAATTTAAAATATATGCATATATCTATATAGTATATTATCTTCTAATAGTATTTTTAAAGTCAATTGAATTTTAATCATGAAATATAGAAACGTAATTTTTTTAAATGAAAGTTAATAAACCACCTGCCATTCATTAAAAAAATAATTAATAAATGCAAAGGTGTTTCGTCATTTACTCAAGTAAAAAGAATGATGCCAAACTGTCAATTCGAGTTTCAGCCAATCTTGTGATTTGCATTTTAGTTCAAATTAGTGACTTTAAAGAATTCATCATGAATGTAGCAGTTTCGTTAATTTTATTAACTTTTCAGCAATTTAAAAATATTATTTCTAAATTGAGTAGTGGTAATAAAATTTTTCTGCTATATTAAGTAGCATTAAAAAGTTTTTCAAAATTACTCATTACTTATGATGTCAAACTTATTATAAAAACAAAATACAAAGTAGTTTGACTACATACGTTTTTCGAGATTGATAGATTAAATCACGGATATTATTATGCCAACTATCGGGAAATGCTTTGATCGATTTGAATTCTTTAAAATGAAGATTTTACTTAGTTTCTTCTAGAATTCATGTTTTAGAAAACAAAGGCTGCATTGGCTTCTAATAATAGCAAATTTGGATTTAGAGTGAGATAGTCAGCAGTGGAGGTGAGTGTTGGCGAGAAACAATGCCATTCTTTAACAAGTTTTACCCATCTCCATATTGAAGTATAGTCGGAATCATTTGAGTTATTATCATCATAATGGTGCGAGCTGGCATGTCACAACTATGTCTGTAGTAGACAGTGTGATCATACAAATTTTCCTTTGGGATGACCTTGTAGTTATATTTCAGAATGGATACAGTTGCTAACATTCTCAAACCAGTAGGTTTTTTGATGTCAACCAATTCATGTAAATCTTTATACATGAACTTACCCATTCTCTTGGATAATAAAAAAATTTCAACGATACCTGCTTCTCTATTATAGCCTCAATCTAGTTACACAACAATTTCTCAACCACTGTAATTCTGCCCAATCTTTTTTGGTATGATTGTCCTCTTCTTCATTTGGGCACATTTCATGATAGCCTTTCCATATTTTATACTTCACTATCCTATTCAGTATTGGAATAGATAACTTTCATATGGACAAATTATTTTCAACTTTTCTTCTCAGTCAACTGTAGTTTTATAGATGTATTTGGTACAGTGAAAAGTCGTTAATTCGGACACCCATAATCCGGACATCAAAGCTACAAACTTTCTGCGCATGCGTCGCGTTCACGCATGCGCACAGGTGTTTAAGAGTGCGCCTAAGACCTTTACGGCTGCGAATATGTTTGTACGCATGTGCGTTTAATGTGTAACGGAGGTATAAGCTATGCTAAAATTATCTAATTCAGTTAATGTTGCAGATTGCATTGTTCCTTAATCTTCGAATTGGATCCGGCTTATTATTTTTTGCAGACTGTTAGAGCAATTTCATAAAAGTAAGCTTGAACTTTCGATTATGTCAAATAGAATTTCCAATATATATTTACTAATATGCAATTTGTATCTACAAAGCGAAAGTATGTTTGAAATCCGAAATCTGTTTATCAAATTCACGCTGCGGATTGGAAGTTGATCTGTCAGCACTATCCTTATCTTCAGAGCAGATGTTTTTATTTTATTTGGCTTATAATTCCTTACTAAGTGTAGTATTTCATCTCGATGTACTCCGTCTTTGATATGATTTAAATCGGGTTCTTCATCATTATAATTCGCTTCTGATAGTGAAGAAAGTTACCCAGAGGTTATTGAAAACGAAAACATTTCGATTGACAAATTAGTCGGTATTCTCAACACAGCAATTATAGGACTTGAACAGCGGAAGTTTGTAACTAAACAAGAAATTATGTCTGTTTAATAGAATTAAAGAGAAAGTATTATCACATGAAATGAAGCAAATTACATCGAAAGAAATCTTTAATAAAGTAAAAAATAAAAAGCTTTCTTTGTATTTGATCGTTAAAGTCACCTAATCATTATTTTTTTTTTAATTCTGATGCTTTCATTAAATTTTTAACCAATCCAAGGTCGCGATAAGTGTTAGATTTTGGTATTTCATTTCGAATCCATTTCCAGAGTAAATTAACAAAGAATACAAACGGTAAAAAACAAGTAATTAAAGTAAGCTCTCGGATATTCTTTGAATGCAAGAAGAAAGAAAAATTGTTTATGGGATCCTTATTTCTTAACAGCTGGTCTCAGTTTGAATATATGGCTTTTGTGCCCTCATGAAACTGCTAAGTTATGTACATTGATGTAAATTGAATGATATGCAAGTTGGAGAAGATTACTGTAATTAATGTGTGGTCTTGATTGTTGTCTCATATTTATTCATAAGATTATTACATGCTTTTGTAAATAATCAGATTGCATCTTAATACTGAGTTTACAGCCATTTGCAATATGCAATAAGCATTAGCACATGAAGGAAACTACATATCAATTTGTTTATATATTTCCTTTATTTGTTTTACTTTTAACCATGCTATCGAAACTACATTTTGGAATTTCAGTAATGGAAATATATTACTTCAGTTTTAAGCTTTAAAAATGAACAAGTGAACATGTGTTATTTTGTATTCTAGTATAATTTATTTCATCTTTGGAACTTGTTTTTAATTTAAACTGTGTGATTTTATTTTTTTGTACATTTTAACATTTTAAGGTAAAAGTTAAAAGTACTTAATATTTAAATTGTCTGTTCATTAAAATAAAAATTAAATGTATACAAAATGGCATAATTCATGATAAAATGTTTTATAGCACAAGTTGAATTAAGTATTTAGGTAGAAGACATATAATTTAACATCAGATTTGAAGTACAAACATATTATTACTTAACATCCTAAACCGTTAATTTTATTTATAATTTTTCTACAATTAAAATGCTTTCCTTTGCCTTAAGTACTTTTATCTAAATATTAAGGATTTTGAAATTAGATTGATACGTCGATTTAGTTCCTGACAACAATTTGTTGTCTTAAAGTAATGACAAGGTCTTATGCGACATGGTTATCATACCAATTCCAAAATTAGTAAACTGATTTTCAATTTAAGCACTTGCATATTAAAAACCAATAAACATATAATGCAAAAATTTTATTAAATAGGCTGTCCTTCCTAAATTTTAGTTTTTCAGTGTTACTATGCATACTGTGTATAAAACCTGTACTTTTAAAGAAAAATATTGCACTTGTACTCATGCATTTTAGAAATATGAAGAAAGCTCACTTTCACCAACATCCGTTTTGCTACAGCTGTCAGGTTGTTCAGCCTTCATGTGAAGAGATGAATTCTTCCCATTAACAGTGGAAGCCTTAGTTTCATCTTTAGGTTCTGATAACTTTTCCTTGGGTGACTTAACTGAAAAATAAATGAACAATTAAGTATATGATACACAGACTGCTAAATCTTGATATAATAACCCTCCAGAAATACACATAACTAAAATAATGCTCGAAAGATAATTGCAGTCAGTCATGTTTAATAGCAAAACAATTTCAATGGGATGACAAGACTATTTCCAGCTTTTGCCACTAACAGGAAGTGAAATTCACAATCAGGTTTGAGGGGTTTAAATAATCCTACAAGCAGATGAAACAAACTTGTTTCTATGTTGCTATGTAAATAGATTTTTTTTAGTTCAAGTTAAACAAATGACACATAATGCAGTAATAAACCAAAACACCAGATCTCACCTTAGAGACTTTGAGTTATGAAAATTGAGAAATGAAGGAGTTAGACTTTGGCGGGCTCTGATTGAATTTAAACCTTAGCAATATTTGTACAGAATTTACATTCAAATGCAGTATAACAATTAAACGTTTGTTTCTATGTAATAACAATGATGTATTTAATGCTGTAGCATAACCGAGACTTAACACAGTATTATAAGGTACTGTCTCCCTCCTTCTAGTATGCTTTTGTGGTGTAACGGTAGCACATTTGGTGCATATTCGAGAGGTCAAGGTTTGAGTCCCAGTGAAGGCATTGCATATTCTTTGTCTCTTGCTTCAAAATAACCTAATATTTCTATAGAATATGCAGCACTAAACTTTCTTTAAATCCGATAATAAGGATTTTGTTTGGTAATATTCAAGACGGAATGTAGATAAAGCACTCGGATATTAAACAATCATGGATTATCAGAATTGTATTGTAATAATTTTATCTGTTTGAAATTTATCAAAATTGACAGCCGAGTTTATCTTGAAACCATCTCGGCAAACAAAAATCAAGAATTCAAAACATTTTGAATTTTTCTTTTGCAAATCTCATTCCTGATCAACATTTAATTATTTTTCTCTTGCACTACTCATAAATATATAGACCATTAGCATATCCTGAGAAAAGGATTTGAAGCACAATTTTAAAAATATCCAGCATAAATAATACCCAAGATTGCACAATAAATGGGACCACTTCATTTAATGATACTCCATCATAAAAATGCTCACACCTTGTTGCATGTCAACCACTGTTCAGAAAGACAGAATACCTCTGTCAGGGCATCTCTGCATGAAAAAGTGTCCGTAGCCTTATGGAGATAAATTTATAATTTGAATAAATATAAGGGAGCAGACATTTAATACCGAACCAGAATTATTCAAGACTTATTTCTCTATTTTGATTTTACTAATTCAGCAGGGAAGAAACAAATCCATATCCCTTTTATAAAAAAATGAATTTGCATAAAAGCATTCGAACTTTTATGAAAAGTCTTGCACTGTCATGAGTAAATGCTTGTGTCTTCATAAACTAGAATGGCTTTAAAGGGTGCTTTGAAAACATTATGTTTCTTTTTCTTCTGTTTTTTTTAATTTATTAGACTAAGATAAGGCTTTCTGATAAAATATTTTAAGTTGTTTATATGAACCCCTTTCCTTCATTCTATTTAATTAATTTTTTCAGCATTTTTAAGGAGACAAGATTTCAAAGAATTGATTTTTAAAGTGCTTAGATGTTACATAAAATCTGAAATTGACAGGTATTGGTCTCAAAACAAACTTTTATTTGTAAATATATCAAAATAAATATACACGGAAAAATAGTAAATATACACGGAATTATTCCTAAAATACTGCAGGATGATTTAATGGAAAGGAAATGGCCAATAAAATCACTGATGAAAAACAATTTTTAAATTTTCATCTCTAGGATGAAGTAATCACTATTAATCATAATGAAGCATTTCACTGATTTTAAACCATTTTAAATCTAATATGACTTCACAATTTTCAAATGAATCTGTAGACATTCATGATAGTAATTACATCAAAACTGTAAAGCTAAACAATAATACATTGAAAATGCCTCTGTAATAAGATAACCAAGAGTAATAGTCGATTTTAGCCCTACTTGTGCTAAGCTTAGGGAACTGACATTCAGTACCAATATTAGTTTATCCTCCAAGAACATGATTTGCTGCCTTTAGAAATGGTCTACAAAAGTTTATTCGCTATGAACTCGAATTTACTATATATTCCTTATAGACTTTGACTGTTTATTAGCTCAATCCTTTTTACTATAATATTTGACTTACTTATAATAATAACTAAACTTTTATGCAAAATTACAAAACTGAAAATTTGTATCTGCAAGGAAATTCAAAGTTTGCAATAATTTTTGGTAGTTCTCAGCAAAGGATAGTTTAGATTAGCTATTTGAATACAACAAAGCACACAATCGGGTCTGGGGGGTTTAAACAATACTATAAGCAGATGAAACTATCTAAGGGAAGGGATGCCTTTGTGCAGGAGCATACAGAGAACAGGATAGCGGAATACCCAGATCTCTGAAGCAAGGAGGAAGAACTTGAAGAACCATTAAGTTTTTAAGAATATGTACCTATACATGGGAATATAAAAAAAGGACAAAGTGGTGTATTTAAAACATTAAAATTTATTGTGGAAGTGGATTTTGAAAGCTCATATTTGGGCATTAAAGTCTCTTTTCACAGTGTTTGTTTTAGCTGCTTCTTTCAAAAGAAGCTTTTTTAAGTTCTTTAAAATCTATGTTCGATCAATAATAAGCCATGTAAGACTTAACGGTTTGTCACACTTTCTACTGAAAATGCAGCAGCTGAAAACGTTAATTTTGATGAAGCTATAAAAATATTTTAAGAATTCAAAGCTCGCAAAAAGTAGTTTTAGCTTTTTTATACAGAGAAAAATTAAAAATAATTTTCTAAAACATCAAAAATGGCAAAATAATACCATCTTTTAAATATATGTTTGTCTGCTAGATGCAAGTTCTTAGTCTTAAGATTTTTTGTTTTCCAAATCATTTTAATTAATTTATTTGAATTATTAAATAAATACTAATTGTATATTTCAGTTGACATTTTGTATGGTAATCATTTCAATAAGGAGGATTTCTCGTCCTGGGCCTCAATAGCTGTAGGTCTGCATGCCTGAGAATGATCCCGAGTTTGAAATCCCACTACTTAGCGGTCTTAACCTTTCGGATATTCGTACAGATGTCAAGTTCAGCTATATTTCTATATTAATTAAACATATCTGTTTTCGACTTTTATACTTGAATTCGAGGTGCAGTTTGGTAGTTGAGAAAAAAACAAGATGGGAGATTTATATGCTGTTCTGTTATCAGGACCGGGTCCAGAAATTTGTGTATGTATGCATGCATGTTCGGATATGTTTCCTGTATGTATGTATATGTGCATGTACCACCCTGTATTACTTTAGGCTTTGTATCTGTGTGTACACATACATACACGTGTGCATATATATACACACTTCTGAATTCGGTCTTGATGACAGAAATGTACCGATAATTACACCATTGTTAATGATAAACTGTTATATATTAGGAAAAATTTTTAAGAAATATCAAGTTACGCTTTAAAAAACACAGGCTTTCATATAAACTCTTTAGATGGAAATCACATTGAAATGAAATGCACCAACTTGCTGATTACATATGATTTTTTAAAATGTGTGCAAATTTATAAGACATTCAGTCTTTATATGAAGTTTGCTAATGTTATTCATATCTGATGATTACAAAATTTAAAAATGATTGATACATTCAGTTGGATACTTGTACATAACCTACATTTGTGCACCACTCTCAACAAGCATAAGCTGTTATCTGTTTTCAGAGCGAAGCGGTCATAAAGTAGCATCGAAAGAAATCAAAACATCACTGCGATGAAAAGCTTAAAACTACAGTACGTTTTAAATGCAATATTCATTTAAATACGATATGAAAGACTCCTACTTTCCTCTCCTAAATAATTCAATTTAAATAATGGGCATTTTTCAAATAAAGATCATATACAGAAATTATTTATCTTATTGTTAAGATTAACAATAATTTAATTTATTAACAATAAGATGAAAATACTTTGTTAATAAGTACAAATATACAGGGTACCTATATTGAAGATAAATATAGAAACGAGCAAGTAAAATTACTAACTTACCTTTAAGTCCTGGCCTAGCGTTTTGGTGAAAGAAAGCGCAGTACGGGTTTTTACAACCGCCGGGTTTGCTTTCAAAATAGCATTGTATTTGACACCTCTTTACCTATAAAAGTGTTTTATGACGTTGTTATCAAGGAATTCATCTTTCAGTACATGAATAGAAAGTCATATTTAATTCAAGACTTAAGATAAATTAATCATAAACAAACAAATTTAAAATATGAGACCGTGAATTCAGGTTCAGTTTATTTCATACAATTTTGTGAATTTTTACTATGAACCGTTAAAAATCATAAACAAACTAATATATAAAATGGTAATCAGTAGGCAATTACACAATACGTTTCTTAAAGCAGACGAACGAGGAATAAATCAAACAGCTTTTGAAGCTTGAATTTAATCCTTCTTTCTTATCAAAATGTTGGCTCCTGGAAACCTCGATTTCTTTTGGGTGGTGGGTGAGTACTATAAATTTATTACGGGGAAAGAAGAAAATTTTTTTTCGCATAGGAGCCCTAGAGTTCTAGTTACGCCACTGGCTACTATAAAGCGAGTTACATCATTTTTCAGTGGAAATCAGTACTATTATTTCTCCAGTCTCCCAGCGAAATATCACTCAGTTCTTGATTCACTAAATATTGTTTTCTGAAATTCATTATTAAATGAAATAAAATCTCAATAAAAATAACTCCTCTCTCATCTTGATGTCAGTTTTAATTTCTTGAACAATTTTTAAAACAATTGCCAGATTTATTCAATCATTTAAATGCATACATATATATACTCATTTTTTATATTTGTTGATGATTTGAAGCTTGTTAATTCAGTTTTTTTACGGTACTTTTTGCCATCTTAAAAAAAAAGATCGATTTCAA